CTGCATCGAGATACTTTACTCCGTCTTCCATTGATTGTCTCATTTCGTAATCTACTACAGTCGGCAGGATACAGCTTGGAGGTCCTCACCCCCCTCCCATTCAGTGGACAAACGTTGAGGACTTTTTGTTGACGCCTCTCAGCATATGACGCGCCTACTAGTCTTGTCTAGGTCCACCCTCCCTTTGCTACCTGCACTTCATGCTTCTGTTTGTTTCTGGCCATTTTAACAAAAGTCGAAACTTTGCAGCCGCAAATACTGGCCCAACTGCTGTGTGACCGAACTGACTCTGCAATCCCACATGGTCTCCCCGTCACAACCCCTCCTCCTCACCCTTCCCGTCAGATCGCCAGTAAAACAGTCTGACTTGGCCTGCACACAGCAGCAGAGGGAAAAAAGAAGACAGGCCACAACGACTGGTGTTAATTTCCGTGGCCATAGCTGCTTTGACGAGACTGCGACTTTTTTACATGAGCTCCGTTGCCAACAGAAGCACATTGCGCTCCAGGTGTGGGCAGGCCTTATCCTCCAAGTACCGACAGGATGTCACATCCACAAATGAAAACGAACGCATTATTGTTATTATTACTCTTGTGCGCGCTCTAATCCTTTCGCATCTTTTCTTTCTTGTCAGCTTTATGAGTGCTGAGCTGGTGGGATTCTGCACCTCCGCAGGCGACCCGTCAGACGCCAGAGCTTGTACGGAGGCTGAGCTAGTGGTGGATGGTCCTGGCGGTATTACCGGTCCCTCGCCAGGTCATGTGATCTCTTTCCTCAATCAGTTGATGTCTCAAGTGAATTCCATCGCAGAGGCAAGTTCATTCCCCTGGTGGTTGTTGCATCTGTTCGCAGTCTTTTGTTCTCTGGTCTTGTGTAACTCTAATTCTGCATAATGTTTGCTGCTGCATGTTAGTGCTTCTCCATCTCTGCCGTCCCCCCCTCGCCTGCTTACTTGGTTATTTTTTTTCTACATCCACCAGACTCACGGTTGCTACCCAGTGCATCTTCGTCCAAGCGAGATTCTGTGCGTTGCGGGCTATCCCGACGTGCGTGTTGATCACGCGCATTCTTGCGTTCAGCTCGCTCTGGAGATCCGGAGATTAGTCAGGTAGGTGAACATGCACAAACGCCGGTCCACCTCTGCACTTGATCGCTTTGTGATCCAGTAGGTAATCGTCAATCACAGTCCAGGATTTAGACTGATCCCTGCATCTCCATAGTAGGTGGCCCTCAAATGCAAACATGCAGGTAGACGAGCGCCTTTTTTAAAATGATTCACCGCACATCCTACTTCCGCACCGTACACTCACGACAAAAAGGGATGTTGCTGATGGCACGCATCAGGACCCAGACGTTTCCGCCGTATTCGCAGTCATCAGCTAGCCACACCACCTGCGGATCGGGCTGATCCGAGATTTGATCTTGGGATCCATTTGGTTAGCAGCCTTACCACCACCACCCGAGATAAGAACTCATGTCATGTCGGCTGCAATTAGAAATATTAGAGTTCACCGACCCATCCCGCTCGCATGGCGTGGTTAAGGCTACCTGACAACGACAGTTAAATTGGAGATGTCCGTTCCGGTCTCCCTTGTTTTCGCCTCAAGCATGTCTCCACTACTGAATGCCCGTCTCTCTATGAGCGTCTCTGGGGGGGGGGGGGGCGACAAAATAGAACGCCCCTATTTTGTCGGTGCTGTCCTAGCGTCAGAGCCGTCAACTGCGCTCCTGCGTGACACAGAGGCGCCCTCCACTGCGCCAGGGACCAGTCAAAATCTTATCCTACCGGAAAAAAGCAAGTCCATCCCCATTCGCCGTTAGCCTAGCTGCTGGCTACCCGGCGCGTCCACAGGTGGCGGATAGTGGGACGGCCTTCAGTGAAGGTTAGCTGCGAAATAAGCAGACCCAGGTCTGACGAATAAGCAGTCGCGGACCAGCAGCGACATTGCTACCAGGGTGCGGTGGGCTGAAGTCTGGCACGCTGAAAGCCTTATAAAATGCCGCAAAGCCCAATGACGGCATTGTGACATGGCGACCGTAAACCGCCATTAAATAAGTTTACTTGCCACCGCTGCCTTGTGGTTAGGTTTTTAAGCCAAAGCGCTAGAGGAGACAACCTCGAACAAACAATCCGAGCGGCTGTTGGGGACCCGCCCGTATTCGAAATTCCCAAGAAACCTCATGCAACATGTCCAATAACAGTACTACACCCCATGCTACGGCGTCCGCGGGAACCGACGCGCTCCGCAACCCTAGTCCAGTGGTGCGGACGAATAGTATGCGAGCTGGACTACTCAATCGTGGAAGGACTCTCGGTATTGGATGCTGGAATGTACGAACGTTCCTGGACCCCGGTACCCAAAGTCTGACCGCACGCAGCCTTCATCAGTACAACGTGGATGTCTGCTGTCTGTCTGAGGTACGACTCCCTGACTCGGGCTCTCGTGAAATAAAGATCCCGGGAGTCGAATCCCACTTCACCCTGTACCACAGCGGCCCCCGCGATTCCTCTGGTCGACACGGTGTGGCGATCGCCTTATCACAACAAGCGGAGCTTGCGCTACTTGCTTGGGAACCAGTAAATGACCGGATGGCCTACGTGCGACTGAAGGGTCACTTCACGAACATCTCCATCGTCGCTGTTTACGCACCAACTTCGGCTGCCGAACAGCGCGATAAAGAGGCGTTTTACTCTCAGTTGCAAGCGCTAGTTGAAAGACTGCCTCGCCGCGATCTGATGATTGTTGCTGGCGATTGGAATGGTCGAACTGGACCTGGCGACCCCACAACCAGTCATCTTCTTGGCCGCTTTGGGCCTGGTTCTCGATGTGAAAATGGTGAAAGATTGCTGAACTTCGCTGATCGAAACCGACTGCTTGTCACCAACACATGCTTCCAGCATCGCAAAAAACATCTGCTGATCTGGTATTCAAACGACGGTCGTACGGCCAGTCAGATTGACTACATACTAGTCAGCTCAAGGTTCCGCAGCTGGGTTCACGATAGCAGATCGATGCGTGGTGCCGAGACTGGTAACGCCCATGGGTCGGACCATGTCCTCGTCCGTACACGCCTGAAAGTTCACCTCTCATCCGCACAAAAAATGCCAAGTCCTAGACGCCTCAATGTCGCAAAAATCCGGCAAGCCAGCACTGCCGAGGCCCTAAGCAGAGAAATCCGGACCTGTTTTACGGCCCGAGTCGACGGAGAAGTCAGTAACCAGTGGTCGTCACTGAAGACATCAGTCTATGGGGCAGCTGAGAAAATCCTTGGATACACCCAGCGACGCCGCAGTGACTGGATCAGCGGAAGAACCCTGCAGTTGTCTGCTCAGACGGCTAGAGCCAGGTCCCGCAACGATGACTACTTCCGCCAACTTCGGAAGATGATGGCAAAATCGGCCAGGGATGACCGGAAACAATATTGGGCTGAAATAGCGACATCCATGGAACAGGCCTCGAACGTTGGTGACACTCGAAAGCTCTATCGTCTGATCCGCCAAGTTAGCGGTAAGCCCTCTACACTGAGTGACTCTGTTCGCGATGTGAACGGCGGCTTTATTGCTGACAACTCGGCCAAAGTCGAGCGCTGGCGTGAGCACTTTGAGCAGCATCTCAACTTCGATACCCAACCTACATCGCCCTTGTTCTCCTCCTCAGCGGAGTTTCTTCCCTCTCCTACCTATGCAGTGCCATGCGATCCCCCCTCCGAGGAAGAAGTCGCCGATGCCATACAAAAGTTGCGCAACAATAAGGCACCCGGAGAGGACGGTATACCCGCTGAAATCTTTAAGTCTTGTGTCGACACTCTGGCACCCTGGCTCCATGAGGTGATTGAACGCGCGTGGAGAGACGAGGTTGTTCCTGATGACTGGGGCTTAGGCATCCTTGTACCTATCCTCAAGAAGGGAGATAAGACGAGATGCGAGAACTACCGCGGCATAAGTCTCATCGACGTTGCTGCGAAGATCTTCGCTATTGTCCTACTCGGACGATTCCAGGCTGTGCGTGACTCAAGGACGAGGCCCAACCAAGCCGGATTTCGTGCTGGACGTGGATGCGCAGATCAGATATTCACACTGAGGCGCATTCTCGAATTTCGCCATAGCTACCAACAACCGACAGCCGTCTGCTTCGTTGACTTTGCCGCCGCGTTCGATTCCGTTCACCGCTAGATGGTGTACCGGCCAAAATCATCGCCATGATCAAGGCCTACTATCGTTCCACTACTGCGAGAGTCCTGGTCCGTAACAATTTTTCCCAACCGTTCGGTATTCGGTCTGGCGTCCGACAGGGTTGTATACTGTCACCCATACTGTTCAACTACGCTATTGACTGGATCCTCGGGAGGGCCCTACGCGACAGTGACGGTGTTGAATTTGCGCCCGGACATCGACTGATTGATCTCGACTATGCCGATGATATCGCCTTAATTGCTTCAAGTTTTGGTGATCTGCAGTCTATGGTGTCACGAGTGAACGAGGTCGCTAAATCAGTCGGTTTGTCCATAAACGCTGGGAAGACCAAAGTATTCTCAAGCTGCATCCCTGACCAGGAGAAGGCACCCCTGGGGATTTATGGCTGTCAACTTGAAGAAGTGGACAGTTAAATACCTCGGGGCGCGGCTGCTACCTAATGGACAGAGTAAGGACGACATTGTCTCCCGAATCGATGCTGCCCGCTGGGTTTTTTCAAGCCTTCGGAAATGCCTGTGGAACCGACGTGACCTCTCCATCGCCACTAAGATTCGCGTGTACCGTGCATCTGTCCGGTCTGTCCTTCTCTACGGTTGTGAATGCTGGGCTTTGCGTGTGGCGGATGAGCGAAAACTGGAGGTATTTGACCACCACTGCTTGAGTATCATCCTTCGAGTGAAGTTAACCGACTTCGTCTCAAATGAGATAGTCCGCGCTCGCTGCGACAACATCGCGAGGATAACTCAGGCCATCCAAGAAAGACGACTGAGGTGGTTCGGGCATGTTCTTCGTCGTCCACCTCAGGAGCTCAGTGTTACTGCCCTCGATCCGGCACCGTTGCCCAATTGGAGGCGTCGAAGAGGGGGTCAGTTCAAAACCTGGCTCGACACTGTCCGTCAAGACATGGAGGTGGTTCTTGGACCGTCAGTATTAGGTCTCCGTCGTTGGCGAAGGGAATGGGTTGAGCTTTCCAGATCTGCTGCCGCGGATCGTCACGCGTGGAGAGGTACAGTTCGGGACATCATCGAGGCCGGCTAGATCAGGCATGATCGCAGCCGTATCAAGTACAAGTACAAGTAGTAGCGTGGGGCTCAAAAGACGAAGTCATCAGACGCCTTACGAAGGTCGGTTCATGACCATGTGCCACAGTAGTCTCGGTCAAGGCCATTGTGAGTGGTCCACCGTGTCTCTACTCACGAGGCCACAGTAACACCGTCTGGTAATCATCTCGTCTGCCTACGAAAGCCAGCCAATGATCAGACCACTTAACCCACCTCCAGTCGGAGGCAGCATGTTGATCTATCCTCTTAGTTATGCCATTAACATTGGTCTGGTCGATTAGATCAAAACTGCCGCTATTTGTCCTCGAAGCAGAACGCACGCGCCCTAGCGGTCTTGCCACCCCAAGCCCCGGTGAAACGTGACTCGTCGAACAGAGTTTGCATGAAGCGGCCTCTTGGAGAACTGGTTCTAGTTCCTGGATTCAAGGACAGACGTTTCCCCTACTCCCCCTGTAAGCGAATTTAAGGTACTGCTTGGCATCTGTGGGCGAAACTGGCGGACAACATTCGCCACATCATCACACCGCTGTGGTCGTTGCAGTTCTCATTCATTTTCGGCGGCTGTTTATCTTTCACCTTTGTTAAATATCTTTCCGCTGTCCGCAATACAAGTCAGGTGTCATCATCCCAAGTTCCCGTCGTCCCTGCCATCGCAGTAACCACCAACCTCACTAATCAAGGCTGTGAAAGTGTATATAACGCGAAAAACGGGGGACCACTACATGTTTTTTGCTGTTCGTTAAGGTCTTCGCAGACGCCGCTAACCCCTGCTGTCCCCAGCCTCGAACAGCGGAATTGTTTGAATGATACGTCCTCCCCACCGATGGTTAAGGTGCTCATTCGGGCTTTCTGTAGGCCCATTCATTCCCCTCTTTTCATGCGACATTATGTGCTCTCATTGGTTTGCCGTCTGACAATCAACTCCGTTCTCCCCCTTCATTTCTACCCTGCCCCCTAACCCACCGCCAGTTCCATTGCTAATTCGGCCCGAGTTGGCCTGCAACTGCGAATCGCAGTTCACACCGGAGAAGCCTATGCGGCGGTGTTTGGAAAATCCATGCTCGCCTTTGACCTCCTCGGCCCGGACGTGGTCTTCCTCCGGCAACTGCGATCCGCCACTATACCGGGGTAAGCGTAATAACGACTTTTTTCTCCGATTATTAAACAGAAGCATGCCTCGTCCACTGCGCAAGTTGACAACTGCGAAAGTATATGCGTGAGGGAGGTTTGCTAACCAGGACAGAGAAGATGGAGACAGCTTTGGTTTCTGACCCGTCAATCTGCCCGATCGGCTAAAAATCCATGCGCGTGCCGTGATTATGCAGGTGGTTTGCCGGTGATGTCATACTGACTAGTCAGTAGCGCAGTAGAGCCCAACTTCCACCAGTACCCCTCCACTGTTCAGCCTTTCCTGGACTGGTATGGGTATTTGCTTCTGATGCTAAAATTGACGCAAACCGTACCGCATCCGGCGGTGAGCAGGTGATCGCCTGTAGGGTTGCACAACCGTCCAGCAAATAATCGATATAAACTTTCCCACTTTGATCGTCATAGGACGGATTTACTTTGTTCTGAGGAGACGCCACTCAAATCGATATGCATCAGTGTAAGTGTACTTAGGATGTGTGAATGCGTCACCTTCGTCAGCCAGCCATACGCAAAAATGTCCACTCAAGTCTCCTCTGTCTTTGTCGGTAATGACATTCTGCCTATATCATGCGCCGCTGTGCGGCTGCTGGGTGGGCTCGAGAGAGAGCCCGTAAGGCACAACCGAGTGGCTGAGTTCCGAAAGAACGATCGGTGAACGCTCCCTACCATTGTATATTCCCGATCGAAAACCGACATGGCAACGGGCTCGTGGCCCAGTGGTTAGAGGCGTGGACTTCTAGGTAACAGGTCGCGAGTTCGGGCCTCGGGTGTTTCACACTTCGGGGTTAGGTATGGCTGGCTGACGACGGCTAATGAGCCAGAAATGGCCATTCCAGTGTCCCTTGTCTTTGTCGGTAATACCATTCTGCCTATATATATGGATTGAAAAAGAGGCATCCGGCGAAATTTAATTAGGACGATGGAATTCTTTAGGAGACTGTAAATTTTATTGTGTAAATTTTCGACACTGGTTTTCCAGCTCGTCTTCAGACTATGCTGTGCAAAAAGAACTAACTTCTAAATCGAGGCGAATAAAAGACTGCATGCTGGGTTAAAGTCTGTGCCAATGCGTGTTAATTGAAGCATATATATAATTGCAATATATATATATATGAGATATCGTGAGAAGGACGTTCATCCATCGGGTTCCGTGACATAGATGAAGAGACCTTCGCACAGAGTCTGCTTGCGACGGTGCGCTGCGAATACCAGCCGGATAATTTATGCCACAAACCTCAACGCCCCAGGCATGAGACGGTTCTAACGCTGTTTTCTTGTTCATTCCCTAGGACCGTCGTATCTTTCACGGTACTTCTCCCGTATCCCAGTATGTTTTTGCGTATGTTGGTTTTTTTTTTCTCCGACCGAAGAAACGTCAACGGGTTAGAATAGGACTTGGAGAGTGGCTTTTACGTCTACTTATGCCTGCCTGCACGCACATGTGTTCTCGTTCACGTATTCCACCAAGCCGTCGGACAGAGCATCACGCTAGACTGTGTGTGCGCGTAACTGGTGAATCATCCTGCCGTCGCCGTTCCCAATCCGGACGCCTTGCTTCGCTGAGGGACGAAAATGTCACATTTCTTCCTACCCGAAATCGTCAGGCGGATCACCGTGTTCGTGGTCATTGCATCTTTGCTGAAAGTAGTATGCTATTTGCGAATACTTAGTTCCAGGGTTCGCCTTCCGATTTCCCTCATATATATATAAAAGAAGGCGAAGGCACGACAGAGTCTGGGGGCAGGGGTAGATTGATACAGCACTGTTTCGGGCTTGTTTGCCTTCATTCAGCCAATCATAACCCTGAGCACCAGCTGGTACCGGAAACACAAACATGCACACAGACGCACCTGGCGATCTCGGGAACCATGATTATATTGTCTTGACGTTTCAAAAGCAGACAAGCTTTCATCGTCGGAGGTGAGTATCGTACGACATCACAAAGTATTTGTAGGAGGGGGATAGATAACAGTCATGCTAACATGGCGGGAGTGGTTAATCGGCTTTGGCGCTAATGGTTCGCATATACGAGGTGATACCGAAAAAGACAAGGGAGATCAGAATGGCCATATCTGGCTCATTAGCCATCGTCAGCCAGTCATACCCGACCCCGAAGTGTGGAACACCTGGGGCTCGAACTCGCGACCTGTTAGTTAGAAGTTCAAAGCCTCTAACCACTGAGCCACGGGCCCGTTGTCTTGTCGGTTGCGATCGGGAATATACAATGGTAGAGGGGCGCTCACTGATCGTTTCTACGGAACTCGCTCGTCCCGTTGGGCCTTAGGGCCTTCTGTTGAGCTCAACCAGCAGCCGCACAGTGGCGCATGATGAATGGATAATGTTATTACCGTCAAAGACACTTGGGGGTCGGGTATGACTGGCTGACGACAGCTAATAAGCCAGGAATGGCCATTCTAGTCTCCCTTGTCTTTGTCGGAAATACCATTCTGCCTATATAATCGCCGCTGTGCGGCTGCTGGTTGGTCTCGAGAGAGAGCCCGTAAGGCACAACGGTACGAAGGAGTTCCGTAGAAACGATCAGTAAGCGCCCCTCTACCATTGTGCATGCACGTTTTTATGTATGAAACGTGTTTTAGCGTAATCCTAACAGTCTCCCCATCGCTTAACTTCATGTCTTGTGCTTGATAATTTTATGAAATTCCTAGCTTGAAATACTTATATACATATATGTATGGAAAGAAAAGGTGATCACGCAGGAACCCGCATTTTCGCTTCAATTGACATCTATGTGCGTATATTTAGACATGT